GTAGAAGAATCACATAACTTATCTGTAATGTTGGTTGGAACAAGAAATGGTGATATCTTAGAAGCTGCATTTTAAGTAGAGTTTTAAGGATTAAAATTATAACAAATAAAAAAATAAGAAAGTCATTCTGATGATGAACATAGTAATTCTCATGATTCTAGTGGATCAGAATAATAATAAAGATAACCATATACAACAACAGAAACTTTGAAATTTAACTATTCTATTTATATGAGATCACATCAATCATAAATATTGGATAACAAATAATAAATAGATATCTTTAGTAAAAAGATGTTTATTACTCTTCATCCTACTTAACCAATTATGGTATCTATGGGAGAAGATTAAAAATTAATACTTTGGGATACTGAAAATAATTCATTATTATTTGTTAAAAATATGGGTATGACTCCTACTGCTATTCGATTGTCACCAGATGGAGATTTACTTGTGATTGGATTCCAAAATTCTATAGTTGTGATTATGGATTCCAAGATTTAGAAGAATACAAATGGTAAAGTGAGTGAACGTTATTTATTGCCAACCTTAGACATTATTATGAATATTAAAGATAAGGATAATAAGACAGCTGTTTTGAATATAGAATTTTCACATAAAGGAGATATGCTTGCCATTTCATATGATAATGCTCGTAGTTAAAAGGATATGTTTGAATCTAAGTTAGAAAAGGAAGGTTCATTCATATCTGTATGGGTTAATAGAGGTTCTCATCGTACATCAAAGTATAGAGCAACAGACAAGAATTTATTTTTAAAATATACTGATATTCGTTGTCCTTAACTTAATGAATCATATTAGAATGATAATGATACTTATGGTATTGCTGCATATTTTATGACATTTAGTTAAGATGGTAATTATCTATTAATTTATTATCAATTGATAAATAATCAATATACAAGAATCAATAATGATCCTTAAGGTGTTTATATAATATGGGATCTAAATTCAAATACTTCAGTAAAAAATTGGGAAACAATCAAAAATATTTAATGGAAGAAGTTGAATTTCCCAAATAGTTTACATTCATAATATCAATTTTATGATTCATTAATAGGTGATCCAAAGTAAGGTTAAGAACAAGAGACAAATTTAGCTAATGAAATATTCATTAATCCAGTAATGTCAGTTATGGTAGATATATCTCCATTTTTAATTTGTGGAAGTACCAATGGTGATTTGCATTTGGTTAAATCTTCTTGTCTTTTTTATGATAAAGATTTCATTACAGAGATCAGTAAAAAGTAAAAATGTTTGGCTAAGTCATATTCTGCTCATGTTTCATTTGTGAATTAGATAGAAACTCATTAGAATGCTTAATATCTATATACTACAGGTATATTGGATGAATGTATTATGAAATGGAAATTGACAGAAGAATAATAGAATTGGGATTTAGATAATTTAATATATGATAAGAAACAAGCTGATTTGTTTTAAGAAGTGTAAGAGAAAGAGAAATTCAAAAGTTTATTTTCAGAATTATTACCTTTACGTAAAGGAATATCAGATAAGGTGAAGAATGTTGATGACACTAAATAACCTGAAGTAGAACTCAAATTATAGAGTATTATAGGGAGAAGAGCTTTTACAAGAAGGAACAATCTATTTTACGATTATGATGAAAGATTGATTTATGTGGCAGGATGCAATTTAGTAATTGCTAGTTTAGATGATGATGATGAATAGGAAGATAAGATTACATCTTAATTCAAAAAATACAATATTGGATAATAATAATCAGAAAATAATTCAGTGTTTTAATAATTCATAAAATTAGATTAATCAGATACATCATCATCTCCTGAGATATCATGTATTACTTTAAGTTAAGATAAAAAATTATTGTGTGCAGGTACTATTGAATTGAAGGCTAAATTATTGATATGGGATATATGTTCAAGAACTTGTGTTAAGAATATTGTAATAAATAATGTTGGAATGATAATGAATATTAAATTTGCCTATGATAATAGACATCTTATATGTAATGCAATCACTCAAGAATATAGATAAGAAATATTATTGATAGATTCTGAAAATCATTAAGTTTTGGGAGTAGTCACTTATTCATATTCAATACCTTATAAGATTAAAGATTTAGAATTCTATCCTAATAGTGTTTTTAGATTTGTAACATGTGGAGTTTAGCATATGTCTAGTTGGTAATTTGCAGGAGGTTAATTAACATTTTAAGCAATGGAAATTGAGAATCCAAAAGATTTAGTAGAATTGGTAGAGAATTAAAATGATGAATAAGAAGGAGTTTAAGATAATGATATAGAAGATGGTTTAAGAATAACATTTTTAACTGTGATATTTGTTTAAGATGCAATTATTACAGCAGGTGAAGATGGTTTCATTTATGTTTGGGATGATAAAAAAATAAATAAGAAATAAAAAGCTCATCCAGATTAACCTATATTTTGTTTATATACTAGTAAAGATTCTTCTATGTTTGTATCTGGGGGTATGGATGGACGTGTTATTTTATGGTCTTTGAGTAAATCTGAATATTCTTATGTTGTGGAAAAGATATATGAATATAGTATAGCTAATGAATAATTACAGAAAACTGGATTAAATCCAAATTTACATATTCAATCAGTATGTATTGGATAGAATTATATATTGGCAGGTACTAGAAGTGGTGATATTTATGAATTAGTAAGACCAAATGAATCTGATTTGAAATGTAAATATATATATTTAATATATAGCATTAACAAAAATATAAAAGGATATGGTTAAATTAAGAATTAATTGTACAGATCATGATTAACCAAAAGTTGTTGCTTTTTCTGGTAATGCTTAAAAATTATATTCTATAACATAAAAGGGATTATTTGCAGTATGGAATTTAAGAAAATTAAAACGTACATATTCTTTTGCATTTGAAAAGGCAACTTTAAATTTAATAGTATGCAAATTATCACCTAAAATTATTATAGCTTTTGAATAAGAAGTGATTGTTTTAAATGATCATGATTATAGTGTTAATACTAATTATTCTCTAAAATAGAAATCAGCTATTTCAGATATGAAATTGAGTGTTGATGAAAAAATGCTTGCTTTAGCTCTTGCAAGAAATTAAGAATAAAATGCTAAAATTGAAATATATGATGTTGAAAATGAAGAAAATAATTTTAGATTACTTTGTAGCATTGACAATCTTAATACAAGTGTAGAATATTTGGATTTCTCAACTGATAATTTTTATCTATTCTATAAAGATGTTTTAGATGAAACTGCATTAATAGATTTAGATCAATAGAAACGTATTAATAGTATGCATATGGAATTTGATTTGGAATGGTGTAGTGATGGAATCAAATTAGCTGAAAAAGCTAAAGGAGTACATTCTTGTTATACTGATGATAATAAAATTCGTAAAATTACTTTGATTGGAGAAAAGTCTATGGCTGTATTTTATTATATCTTAACATTAAGGTTACTGATAATATGGGAACAATAAGAATTTTCAATTATCCATGTACTTCTGGATAAGGATATATGCGTATATATACTGATCATATGATGTACATTAATCAATGTGTTGCCAGTCCAGATAAAGAAACTTTGGTTACAACCTCAGAATAAGATAAATGTATAATGGTATGGAAAATACAGAAGGTTGATGTTAATAATACATAATGATATTTAATCATTTGAACTACACTTTAGGCAGTCCAGCCAAATTAAAGATGTGTTTATTTTTTTTTAAGAAATTATCTGTTGTAGTTCTCAACATTTCCAATTCTGTTTCTATATTTTATTATTTACTAAATTAATAATTATTTATTACGCTAACATATTATTTTTATCTTAATTTGCAAATTAAGCATCTTAATATGCTAATCTACGTTCATGTTCAAGAAAATCACTCTTTAATTTCAATTAATAAATCTAATTATTAATTGGAGAATTACCATCTTTGCATCTTTATTCTATTATTCTATATTATCACTTAGAATTCTATTTTATTTTGTTTTTATATCATCTAATTCATTTAATAATGATTCACATTATGCCACTTAATCATCTAATTCTTATTGTTTTCTTTCTAATTCACCTTATTTAACAGCTAAATCAAATTATGATTTTTATAATTGATTAGTTAGATCATCTACTTAATTTTATAGTCCTTTTAATTCATCCATTAATTCTGCAACACTACTTTTACCAACACTTCTAAGATTCTCTATTATTTCTTCTGCATCTACAACTCGTTATTTATAATAATTCAAATCATGTTCCATTACTTTACAATGATCAATTAATTTAACATGACTTTTTTCAAGACCACCAAAATTAGATGTCATCTTTCTTATAAAATCTTTTAATTGCTTATCTATATTTTTTTATTCAAAAAATTGTTGAGTAACAACTATTTTCTCAATCTTCTAATATTTATCTGATGCCATCTAATTCATCTAATTTACATAATCTGCATTCAATTATCTTAATTTTTCATTCTCTTATCTCAATTATTTTATTTAAGTTTCCTAAGCTAATAATTCAAATACAATTAACTACTCTTTAAAGTTTATGTATATAATTTCAATTTAGTCTTTAAATATTCTATTTAAGATTCAACTTGATCAGGTAAAGCAGAAGATGTTTCACTTTCATCATTTTGATTAACTCTACTAAAAACAACGACATTATTATTATTATTCATTTTAATAATTATATATATTGTAATTATGTTATTATTGGTTTATTAATGAACAGATCAAATAATACAATTAAATTGAGAAATTTGTTTAATCTTAAATTATAATAGACTTAATTGAAATTAATAATTATCTTTATTATTGAATATTAAATTTAGGTTTAGGAATATTTCAAAATCGTAATATGATATCAAAATTTACCCAAAAAATACTTCAGAAACAGTTAACAAATTAAGATTGAGTTTCAGTAAATTAAAAAAAATAATATATCAATTAAATTTAATTATTAATTATAATTTAATGCATTTTTGTAGAACATTAAGTTAATTAGTACTGTTATCCACAATGTAAGAAATGGCTTTACAATATTAGTTATCAATTAATCTAGGCAAGTTGTAATGTTTTTAAGTTTATTACCACTCCAGAAACAGGTTCTGTTGAACTGAATTTAGATCTAACAACTTCAATAGATTAAGATTTTGGAGTCGGAGTTTGGACCAGATTTCAAAGTCAATTTGAAGATAATGAAAGTTTAGATAAGAAAATTCTAAATTATTACGTATTTTCATAATTATATGATGGATCATTACCTTTGATTTATTATATAAAATTGGATAGAGAAGCTAGGCTCATATATTTTGAAGTGATAATATAAAACTAAGATAATTTGTAATTGAGAGAATTAGAAGTTAAATAGGAAATGGTTGGGTCTAAATGGGTATTCTTCTATTTTTGTTACTCAAACTCAATTAAATAATATAATATGTTTATTTATATAGATTAAGATGTTACTCATGTACAGATGGCATCAGGAGGAGAATACACAAATTAAAATGATTAAATCATACCTTTTATATTAGGAGGCTCTCTAAAAGTATTAATTGTAAGTATCATTTAAGTATTCTAATTTATAATTCAATATCAACCTTGATATGAATAGTTTTGCAGGGTAGATTAGTGACCTTGACCTTAGAACTGGATCATCAAACTTTTATCCAGACATCCCAACTTTTTTGAGTAATCTCTATAATACAGATTGTCAAATTTATACTTGCCCAGCCACAGCTCAAACAACAATTTTGGCTAATTTCTATAATGGTGGCTAAATACTTACAAAAACTATCACATTTTATAATAAACGATTTGTATTATTTGGCTGGATAAAATTAAATGAACTACCAGATGTATAAATATATATACTATATAAAATAGATTCGATCCCTTGAAACCGTATTCATTAGAGCTACGTTTAGAAAGATTTATTATGGAGATAAATATTAAGGAGAGAAAGCATTGTATTGGAAATACTATTAAAGTACTATGCGTGATGATGATAATGGTTTTGAAGTATCCACTTATCATAATGATCCTAAAAGTGAAAATCTAAAATATCAAACATTAGAGAGTGATACTTTTCTTTAAAAATCTTCATATTTTAAGGATGCTGTTACATTTTGGCATTGGTTTGTATATCAAGAAGGATTACCAAATTCTAAAATAGAACTTAATATCTATTTTGGATCTAAAAAAGAAGAGTTAAGTTTCTAAATGACTCAAGATCATTATGAAAGAGTTACTTATTATTTCAATATTGGTGGAGATAAATTCATTAAAGGTTTTTCAGGTGAAGTTCGTAATTTAACATTTTCCTATTGTTAATTAAATGATGATAAACCTTAAAGATGTATAAATAATATATTATTTAAAAAGATTGTCATTATAGTTGTAATACATGTTTTGGACCAAATGAAAATCATTGTATTGACTGTGTTCCATAAGCTATTTCTAAAAGATCTTTAAATGGAACTTATTGTCCTTGTATTCCGAATTATTTAGATGTGGGTGAACCATATTGCTAAAGTAAATTTTAAGTATTAGGTGGAATAAATATATAAGAAGGATTAATTTCAGATACATCAGGTTGTTAAAGGAATTAGTTTTTGGTGATGATGAATGATAATTCTTATTGTTTAGATTGTCCTGGAGCTATCACTACTTATGGTTTATATTGTATCGATTGTGTATATAATCCTACAACATGGTATTAAAATCCAATTTGCACAATTGATTATTTAATGCCTATGACTGATTCAACTGATTATATATTTACAAGAAAAGATAGGAAACAAAAAGATTATGAATACTATCTAATAAATAAATATAATAATTAAGATAAACCAATTTTAGAACCTTGTTTTGGTTGTTTTGGATAAACTAATAGCACTATTAATTTTATAGAAAGATATACAATGAATTAAATATCTAAAATTTTATGTAAGAATTGTTATACATCTATAAATGGGGAATGTGTTAATTTAATTCCTAATTGTGATGAATGTGATAATAAATAATAATGTAAAATTTGTGAATAAAATTATACTTTATTTGAATCTTAATGTTATCAATGTCCTATTGAATGTCCTAATTGCAAATATAATACTACTGGATATTATTGTAAAAGTTGTAATGAAGGATATTATTATAATTCTACATTTGAGTAATGTTAATAATGTGGTTAATTTTGTTAAATATGTTTTTATTCAAATTTACTCAATTTATTATAATGTGTTAAATGTATTGATACTGTAGATTACTTTATTGCATCTGAATTTGTATAATGTTTACCAAAAAATAAACCTCATTGTAAAAGTTAAGTATAAGAAATTACTCGTACTTTTACAAATGAGACATTTCTTTCAACATAATATATATTCAGTATTGATTTAAGGGCTGATTTAATTTCATATCCCACTGTAGATATATGTTTAAAGTGTGATCCACATTATATTAATGTCATTATAGTTCGAAAATTATATGGATGTTATAGTGTAAATGAAGTAGAAGGTATTACAGGGATGGCTTTACCTTTGGTTTTGAAGAATAAAGTAATCAATGATGCCAATTTTGAATTAGGCTATCATGAAATGTATACAAAAGATGGTACTGAAAATTATTATATTATGTTTGGAGATCCTATAATTGATGGCAATTAAAAATATAATCCTATTGTAATAAGATAAGAAAAACCAAATCAAAAACTATGTTTAGATAAAAATTGTGAATATTGCATTTAAAATTATGTATACACTCAAGAATATTGCATTAAATGTTTTAAACCATATTATGCACATAAATTATAAGGAAATTGTATCATATGTCCACCTTCTTGTATAGAATGTGAATTTGCTCATAAAATTTATAAGGATGGATGGAAATCAGATATGTTACCTGCTTATCAATTAAGAGGAAAATAAGAATTGCATCACTTTAGCACCTATTCACTTTCTACAAATGTTGATGATTATGAAGTAAATTGTTTACTTTGTGCTGATGATGGTATTTTACATAATGGAAAATGTTATCCAAAATGTCCATGTAAATAATGTATTATAGAAAATGATGAAGTTAAATGTATTACATGTGAAAATTCAATTAAAACAGTTATTAATAATCAATGTACTCAATGTCCATAATTTTGTGAATTATGTAGAGAATTTACAAATGATGAAATTACTCAAATTAATCCATACTTCAATTTATAAAGCACTACTTATAGATAATATGCAAAATAATGTTTAAAGAGAGATATTAATGATCCAACTCAAGGAATTTTATATAATGATCCTTCTTTAGGTTAAGAAATTAATTGTAAAAATCCTGATAAAAAGGATTGTTATTTTTATGTTGAACTCCAATAAACAATATATTGTGGAAAAGATTAATATCAATAAAATCTTGATCTAGAAATTGATGATGATGCCAAACAATATTTTAAGAAGTATTATTAACCTTTGGAAAATCTGTTTTCATCAAAAAATTCCAGTCATTTCGATATTGAAACAGATTTCTTATTTAATGAATTAAATGTTAAAAGTGTTAAATTAGTTAGATATATTGTAAATATATTACCAAATAGTGGAGATTGTAAAATTAATAAAAATACATTTATTTAATCTAATATTAGATCCAATGTTTTTACAGTAAAATTCTTGGAATTAATAATCTAATCATAAAGTGATATTCCTATCTATTTTGAAGGCAATATTTCATTCATTGAATTTTCATCAGTTACTCTCAAAAATTTCTAAATCATACCCTCAAACTAATAAGTTATCTTTAATGTTTATAGTTTATATGGTATGTCTTTTCTTATGGAACACACTATAATTAAAAATGCCATTGATCTTCAATTTCAAATAATTATATAGAATCCTACTTCAATTTAAATTAAAAATCTTGAAATTTCAGATTCTCAATTGATTAACATTAATGGTTTAATTTCATACTATTTTACTTAGAAATTAAAAAATTAATTAGTATATACTATTAATACAATCTTAATTTAGAATTGTTAAATAAGTAATTCTAATTTGTTTGTTTAAATCTTAGATACCAATTATGGAAATCAAAAATTAATAGCAACTAATTTTAAAACTTAAAAGAATAAATATACAAATTCTATAGTTTTTCTAACTGATTTTCTTAATTAAATTAGAGAATCTGAATTCACAATTTAATAATTTGTATCTGATCGTGAAGAACTCACTAACTCTTCCTTATTTACATTACATGGTGCATTTAATGTTATTTTAAATGATATAACTGTTTCAAATGGAATATTTAATGCAAATGTAAAATTGTTCAAACTTCCTTTATTCAAAATTAGTAATTTAATAATATAAGGTAATAATTTTTAAAGTGCTGATAATAGAGTAATTACAAACATTGTTGATGCTTTATATTAAGATAATATTGCTATCAGTTCTCTCACATTTAATTCAATATCATTCAAAAACAATTATTATAAAGGTAGTAAAGTCTTTATTGAATTAATATAAAGTGAGAATTTTAAAGATTTAAGAGTATAAATTGATGGTTTAGCAATAGAATCTAATTAATTCACTTAAAAAGAATACTCAAAATTAATGACATCTACAAATTCATCCATATATTTAGATTTAACTTAAATAACAATTTTAAATGTAAATATTATTCGAGCATTCAATTTACCAGAAATATCAATCAATAATGTTGATAAATTAATTCTAAAGAATTTAAAAGCTTAATTAAACAATTAATTTAATATGAAATTAATACATTAATAAATCTCTTGTCTTTAAAAGAATCTAGAAATTGGTTATGGTAGTATGTTACAAATATTTAATACTAAAACTATTGAAATTAATAATCTCTAAATTATAGGATTAATAGTAATTAATTTACCTATCATTACTATTAAATCATTAGATGGATCAAATTATAGATAATCAGAAATTATAGACATTTCATAATTATAATTTACTAATAATACTATGATTCTATCCAAACTTGCAGAATAACCTACAATTTTAAGTATTATATCTGGACAAAAGTAAGAAATCAATATTATTAATGTAATCTCATTTAATAATCATCATCATAGTTATTTAGAAGACTTACTTTTCAGATAATCATCAACCATTCTTATACAAAATCCAAATTCAAACATAATTTTAAGTGAATCTACTTTCTCTAATAATATTTTGACAAATAATTAAGGATCTAATTTAATTATTATTAGTAGTACACTTCTAGTTTATAATTGTATTTTTAAACATTAAAATGATTTGCAATATTAATATTTAAGTAATCGATTGATTTGGGGTTATCATTAGGATGAAGTAGCTTACTTTGAAAATTTATATTCAATATTTACTATAAAATCAAAAGGAGGTAATGGGTATTTCTCTGCCAATTAAATGCAATTATAAAATATATCTAGTCAATATTCTTTGGGTTTATAGGGAGGAGCATTTTATTTTGGAACTTAATCAAGTGGTTTAATTAAAATAGAGAATAGTGTTTTTAATTACAGTTAAGCAAATTTATTAATGAAAGATAAATCATAAGGTGGAACTCTTTTTATTGATGCATCTCAGTCAGATTTAATTCTATAAATAATTAATAATAGTTTTACTAATAGTTATAGTAGAAATGAAGGTGGAACAATCTTTATTGAACCTTCAAGAAACAATAATTCAATCATAATTTAAAATAATATTGTAGAGAATGTATTTTCATTATAGAATGCATTCTTAAAGCTTCCAGTTACATTCAGTAGTAAATCATTGATTTTAATTGTTACGATTACTGATTTATCAATTAAGAATACATATAATGGATATCTGTAATATTTGGGACGAATATAGAATCTAAATACTTAAGAAATAAAATATTAAACTTAAAATTATTTAATTTCAATAGAACGTGGTAATATTACTTTAAAATATTCTACTATTTTTAATATTTTTGATTATGGTGCAATAGAAATTTTAGAAGCCAATTATCTTAAATTAGATGACTTAGTGATTCAAAATATTACTATAATCAGTGGAAGCATTCTTAGTTTACATTTTAATAAAAGTATATTATTTTAATAATTATTAGAATATTTGACATCAATTTAAATAATTAATTTAAAATTAAAGGATATCTCAGAAGTGATTGGAGATGTGTCTTTACCAAATAAACCAATTCTTACACTTCAAGAATTATTCTATAAATGCGATCTTGTACCTATTTATCCAACTCAATTATAAACATTATATGATGAATAATAGTAATTCATTATTAGTTTATATAATTTCTATGCATTAATAAAGAATAAAACAAATCCTAGTTTTATTTTTGAAATTGATTCTATATCATAAAATCATGATATATTAATAGAAAATATGAATATTTAAAAGATTAATTGTACTAATTGTTAAAAAGGTTTATTAAAATTTACAAATATAGATGAATAAAAAACATAAAATCTCATTTATTTAAGAGGTTTAAATATGAAGGATAATACATGTGGTATTTTAAGTTGTTTTGTAATTGCAGCTTATTCAACAAATTAAATTAAATTATTCACAAATTCAAAATTACATAGAATTTTAGATCAAGTAACTGAAGAATTTGATTAACAAATATCTACCATAAAAATAGAAAAAAGTTTATTTAGTAATAATAGGGCTGATTTTGGTGGTGGTATTTTAATATCAGGTTTGAGTTCAATCATATCAAATTGTTAATTTACAAATAATATAGCAACTTTAATAGCAGGAGCTATATATTTTGATCATTAATATGGAACATCATTAATTGTATATGATTCAGTATTTGCAAATAATCAAGCAAAAGTTGGTGGTGCATTATATTTAAGTGAATATTAAATAAATACTCCATAAAAATTGAATAATGTATTTTAAGGAAATTAGGCAACTTATTTTGGTAATAATTTAGCAGATTCACCTACTTAATTGACATTATAAATAGGAGAAAAGATAATGTAAAAAGAATCATTAGAGAACAATTCAACTAATAAGACTGATATTATAGTAATAAAACAATACACTATAGGAAGTAAATAATATGATTACATTATGTTACCAAGTGGATAAGCTATTAGAGAATATTAAATTTTTGATGAATAAACTTAATAATATATTCCATATAATTTTACTTTTAGAATAATTCCTCTTAATGAAGAAAAAAATTAAATAAAAGCTTTAGATGGTAGCAAATGTTTTATAAAGGGAAGATAAATTATTAATAAATCAGAAGGAGAATTCTATAGTAATTTCACTAGTATCACAGAAGTTTAATTCAATACAACCAGTCAAGATTACAATTTAGATTAAATGATTATTACATTTGATCCTGATTATTCTTAAATTGGCTATTTGTAGCTTGAAATAACTTGTGATTCCATTAAAATTCCAATATTTTCATAAAAACCTCCTTATTAATTATAGGAATATTTCACAAACTATAGATTAAGAGTCAATCTCTAAACATTTTCTTGTTAAAGAGGAGAATATAAAACTAGATAAGGAACATGTAAATTATGTGATTCAAATTCTGATTAGTATAATGTTAAAGCTGGTGATTAATGTTAAATTAAAGATTCAATAAAAATGTAGTAAGTTTCTTCAGCAAGAATCATGTTAAGACCAGAATATTGGAGACCTTTTGAAAGTAGCTATAAAATAGAATATTGTTTGAATTTACCAGAAAATTGTATTGGAGGATGGAATCCTGGTAATGATTTATGTTCAGAAGCACATATAGGAGCATTGTGTGAATAATGTGATATGTATAATATTAGAGGTTAAGGTTCTTATTCTGTTAGTACACCTTATAAATGTGGAAGTTGTAATGATATTGGTGATAATACTTTAAAAGTTATTCTAGTTAGTGTTTGGACTATGATCTCAATTTTAATATCAGTTAAAGGAACTGTTGAAACTGTTGATAAAATGGTTACTTAATACTAAATGTAAAAATTCAAAGTATTTCAAAAAGATCCAAAAGCAGGATATGGAAGTGTTTTAATAAAAGTTTTAACTAATTATTTATAAATTATTGGAGCTCTTGCAACATTTTAACTTTAAATTCCAAGTGTTCTTTAATCATCAGTAAGATCAGTTGGTAATCCAACAGAAGCTATGAGTTTTTCTCTTGATTGCTTTTTAGTAAATCTTGTTGATATTGATATCATTTATTTCAGAATGATATGGGCTCTAATTATGCCCATAATATATATGTTATCATTCCTGGTCATTTATGCTATTACCATCATAATTAATTTAGCTAAGCCTGATAAAACTGCATTAACAACTACAGCAATCTATTTATTCACATATTTATAACCTACTTTAATTGGTGGATTTATTTCCTTGTTATCTTTCAGACAAATTTCCAATTTATATTGGATTCAAGGTAATGTTTCTTATAGATATGATACTGAAACACATTTCAACTGGATTTTAACCTTTATATTACCTTCCACCTTAGTTCTGGCATTTATTATTCCAGCATATATGTTTATCAGTTTATATAAACAAAGACATAATCTGGAAAAAGAAAGTACTAGAAAAAATTGGGGTTATTTGTATAATGAATATTAAGCTGTTGCATATTTTTGGGAAATTGTTAAAGTACTTGAAAAAGGATTTATTATTATATTTTTAACATTCTATGAGGATTTGATCATTATAAAAGGAGCTTTAGTTTTTATAATAGTTTTCATTTATTAACTATTAACTAGAACTTATAGGCCTTATAAATTGCCTTTCTTAAATTTGGTGGATGAATTCAGTACACTAATTTGTGGATCTTCTATTGTCATAGGAATGACCATATATTAATCCTATTTATCTGATAATTAGGAAATTATTTGGCCATTCTATATACTTTTAATAACATTCAATTCAGTCTTCATTATAATTATTCTTTGGGAAATTATTTTAGCGTAACTTGATGATTAATAAGAAAATCTTGATAAAGTTAGAGATTTGATAAATAAAAAGTTCCCTAATCTATAAAATTCAAATTGGATTTTCAAAAGACTATTGACCAACCGTGGACAACAATAGAAAAGAATTAGAAGAAGATTTTAAATGATAAGAAGGTATCTTATAAAATTAGTTCGCAATAATCCAGGAATTTATTAATTACCTACTCCTATTCATTCATATCCAGACAAACCAGTGATGTTTGAAAATCAAGAAAAATAACAGCTATTACCTAATCATCAATAAGATATTAAAGATAATACCTAAATGGTATAAAAAAGAGGAACTAAAATATTTCCTGTTGATTAAGATTAAAAAACCTTTGAAAGCATTAGATATGATGATAAACGTTAATCCCCTTGAGAAATAAATTTAAATTTAAATTAATATAATATTTTAAAATTTCTTATAATATATTTAACATAGAGTATGAGTATGAGTATCTAAATATCAATTTTCAGTGAATATCAACACTCTTAAAAATTTCATACATCAAATCAGACTCTTTATTCATATCACTTAATATGAAATTATGATGAAATAAGAATTTGTCAAATTCTTAATAAGTAATATTCAAATTCTTATGAATTTCAATGAAATACTTTCCTTTATATTTAGTGCGGGGACAGCCAACAAAATTAAGAAAAATATGTTTTTTTATAAAGTCTCACTTTTGTCATATCATTTATATTTAAGATGATATAAGAATCTGTCAAATTATTAATTATGAACTTCAAAGAAATACTTTGCTGTATATTTAGTACAAAGACAGCCAAATAATTAAGAAAAATATGTTTTTTATTAAAGTCATAAAAATTTCACCTAAAAATTTAATCAAACAAAACTTTATAATAAAAAATAATCTATGAGATCAGAAATATAAAACCTCTACTCAAAAAGAATTATTAATTAGACATTTCAAATTTTAATAAAATTATAACTATCATTTTCCTTTTTTAACTTTATAATAATTTGGACAATTTTTCTTGACATATTCTTCTTCATTAAACTCTCTACAAGATGATTCAATTTCTAAATATTACTCTTATAGATTCTTGACATTTTATGTCATTTAATTGTATTTTTCTTCTAATTGAAGTATTTCACTCTAATTATTAGATTAAATTTATAAATTTTACATGTAAACTATTAATATTTGATTGATGTTCTTCTCTTATTTATTCTAAATGTCTTAATTTAATTTAATTGGAACAAATTGATTCATCATATAATTCTAAGAATTCTTTTTTACTTTTCTATTTTCCTTTCACATTACCCTTTTTCATATGTTATGGTAATGCACTAATTAATTAATTTAATTTTTCTCTTATTTAAATATTTTCTTAAGCTAGAATTGTATTTTCATCTTTCAATTTTTAATATATATTTTCACTCTTTTATGATTTTTGTATTTTGGTTGAAATGATATTCATATTATTTTATAATACTTATATTCTTTATGACTAATATTAAATATATATATTATTTACTCTTTTTTAGAGTTCTTCCCATTATTTCTATATTATCTTTTCTAATTCATTTTATCTTTTATCTCCCATTGCATTTGCTTATAATTAATTTCTAACTTCTGCTTAAACAGCTTTAACTTTTTCACTATCTTATAAATATTTTTCATTTTGCTTAATATTAAAAATGGCATAATACTTCTTATAATTGTTTTTCTACTTAAAGTTTAATTTATTCAGCTCTTTATATTTTATTTTGATATTCATCTATTTTTTATGTTGTTTCTTCAATTCTTTATTATAAATCAGCTTCTGATTCTTTTGATTATTCAATACTATTTCTCATTTGTATAATTTCATTTTGTATACCTTCAAGATACATGTACTAAATTTAAATTTCATTTTATTTACTAATTGACTTTTCAAATTATTTTCTTCTTTCATTTGCATATCAGATTCCTTTTTTTCTTCTAATTTCTATTTCCACCTTTGTTCTATTTCTTAGATAGTAATTTCATCATCAGAAGACTCTCCTGAATTCATTTCCAATTAATCTTATTCTTCTTAAATTAATTGTTTTAAATGTTCATTTTCATCTTAAACTGTTTCTCTCTTTTCTTATAAACTTGAAATGTTCTTAAATAATTCACTAAATTTATGTGTTAAACTCTCTAACAGAACCTCATCCATTAATATTGAATACTTTATAAATAATATATAAGTATAAAAATATATTAACTGAATAAATATATAATACTTATATTGAAATAAGTAATGAAATGAATACAAAAAAAATAAATAAAAAGTTATTAATGTTCAATTTTATTCTTTTTCAGATTTTTAATTTTCATTATCCTAATCATTTTAATTAACTTCATCTCTAGAATCACTATTTTCTGGTGCTTCACTATCTTCAGTTATAACTTTATTAAATATTTATCTTCCATCACTTTCTTCATATTCCTTTCTTAATTATATTTAATTATTAGGAGATGTTGGCTAAATAGTAAATATACTTTATAATTAAGTAACTTAAGGAGTTGATACATTTTAATTTTTAGTAATCTAAGGAAGTGCTTTAGGAAAGAAATTTTATTAAGGCACTTTATTATCAGTTTTATTTGATAAGGAACATTTAAAATCAAAACGTTTAGAAGTAGATAACAATTATCCATAACCTACACTTTCATTCATTTTTGGTAGTTATTATTACTTTTATTATATTTTAGATTTCTCTTTATCTTTTTTCATCTTAATCCAATCATATGTAGAAATACCTTTGTATCTTTATATTAATATTTATTTTTTACTTGAAGAAAAGGTGCATTCCAAGTAAATAAGAAAGAACAATAAGGATTGGAGGATCAAGAATAATGCTAATGAGAGCAAGAATTTAGAAGGCAGAATTTAATAAGAGTAGTATATCTTGAATAATTCTTAAGCATTTGAAAATTACAAGTAATACCACTAAAATGAAAAAGTATTTGTAGTTTTTAATGCCTATGCAATTATTTAACCATATACAATGATGGTCAAAAAGTTCAACACACCTTATTAATTAATATGTTACTTATTACAACTAAAACAATGCTTAGACTTTTCCATCACATGTGCTTAACATACTAAACAATATGTTTTAAGATCTGTTTTGAATTCCAATCTAAAAATACATATAATGATGCACCCTTTCGATTTTAAGTTTTGCTCCTTCAAAACTATACTGTCAGTAGGATCTATGAGTGTAGCTCTTAAGCATGTAAAAATGATGCCAGTTATAAGAATGGTGAGGACTATTAACATAAACTCCTAAATTGTTAATTTTGCATTATTAACCTTAAGACCTTCATCCATCATAAATGCTATCATAAATGATATGATCATATCAATAACTGTGTAAAACCAACTTACTGCTTAATAGAGTTATAGATCACTACACCCATGGCGACGAATAGGTTTCAATCGTTCTTTTTATAATTCTGCATCCATAATAATAATGATTATAAAATGTATTGAGATATATATTTTATGTACACAATCATTTTTCTTTGAATACAAATTATAACAAATTGTTAAGTTCTTTGATTTAAGTAAAATCAACAATATGTACAAATATTCTGTTTCCATCATAGATAGTTTATATCATTTTCTAAATTTCATTTTCTTTTCCAGATATTTTCATATCTAATCTATCATTACCTATTAAATGTATTGGAACTTTTCCTGTCATTTTATTTTCATTACATATCTTTTAAACTTATATAATTCTTTTCTTAAACAACGAAACATCAAATTATTCAAAAATTATCATGATACAGTTAAAGGAATCATTAATTCTATTTTCTAAATCTAACAATCCTCCTTCACTTGAATCGAATTCCTTACACAATTAATCCAACAAATTACCCAAAATTGAATTTTTTATTGTTAATATAACATGCATTTAATATCTAATCCAATTGTTTGAGGTAAATTATTAACCATTGGAGTTTAATTTATGAGACTACAAATGAAGGCTGTTTTACCTACTGCTGTATTCATACCCAATACAGCTATTTTATAAAAAGAACCTAATTTGATCGAATCTTACGAAGAGACTGATTTACAATTTGTGAGATTTTCATTTGTCGATTTTACATCAATTGATTTTTAGTAACGTAGTGAAATTCTTTTCTAAGTGATCCCTTAAGTTGCACCCATTTATATTAAATAATAAATGCAATAACAAAAAAACAAAAAAAAGAAATTCTAAAAGCATCAAAGATCTGGTTAATAAAATGCTTCATCAGATTTCTTATATAATGGATTCTTATTGACATGTGATAAGAATAGAGAAAGAGAAGCTGTAAAGGAAGCCTATTAAATTATTGAATAATATGTCGAATAAATTTATCCATAAGAATCATTAAAATATGAATAACTACTTGAATAAAATACAAATAATAAGTCTATTGTCAAAATGTTATATAATTTCGATACTAAAGTTAAATGTGTGATTTTCATCAGAATTAATAGTCAAGAATTTCCAACCATTGATGTAGACGAATTGAGTAGAATCATCTTAAGTGATGTATATGAAAAGTCACAACAAGTAGCAAGATATATCTATAGAATGATACCCATTTAATATGTTTTCAGAGCCACCTTAGATGAATTTAAAAAACATGCTTAATTGCTTGTGAATAAACATTTCTAATTAGATAGACCACATCCTTGGTTTCTGATATTCAAAATTAGATATACAGATAAAATTAATAAATAATAGGTCTTATCAATATTATAAGAATTGATTGAACCTCTTCATTATTAAGATTGGTAAGAGCCTGATTTTGTTTTCTTTGTTGAAGTAAATGGTGCAATTATGTATATAAACATACTACCAAAATACCATGAATACAGAGAATATTCAATTAGAAAAGGTGGTTAACCTGTTTTAGATACTTTGCCTGAAAGAAAAAATAATTTCACAGACAAATTAGTAAAGAAAGTTAAAGGTTCAAATGAACAAGAAGTTTAGAATGCAATTAACATTTAAGATCCAAATTCAGACTTTTAGAAAAAGGAATTTTTTGTTGAATAAGATGTAGATTTACTTTGATCTAAATGTTAAGAATTAAATAATAAAATAAAAAATTATAAGAATTCTCTCAATTTCTGCTTTGTCTTTTACAATCCAAAATTTATTTTTGAAAATCTTATTATGACTCTTTATCTTAAGTTTATTAACATAACTTCTCTCCTTATTAAAAATATTATCTTAATTATATTAAATAATTTACAATGCAGTTTGAAATTATCCATTACTTCGATAAAACTTACCTAATTTAAAATATGCTTTGATGTTAGAAGTATCAATATATAGAACAAATTATAATAATTCCATAGTAGCAGGTTTTTTCAATAATTCTAAGTTTAGTTAAATATTATTAATAAGAGCAACTCCAAATTCTCTCCACATTCGACTATCATTTAATGCTAAGATTGACAAGTAATATTCAAACAAAGCTTTCTCATATTATTATTTTTGATAATATTTAGTTCCTTATGTTTTATGATATTCAACCCATTCAGATCTATCCTCATAATCAAGGTCCTATTTATTTATATTCTTGAATTCTTTACTTCTATTAATCTTCTTACTCTTTAATCTTACTCAGCCCTACTCTTCTCGATTTCATGACTAAATGAATTACTTTGAATAGTTATACAGTTTTCTTTCACTGTTATCAAACTCCAATTACACTAATTTTGATTTAATCAAAAGTGTGATTTCTTAAAACTTCGTACCTTCTATTTCCATTAATAAATTATTTATTTTAAAGAGTTATACAACTTTAAAATAAATAAAATTCAAAATGTTTATATTTACATAAATTGTGAATAGGTAATGTATTTTTTGTTTCAATGAATAACTACTTTATTGCAGTTTTATAATCACAAAGAAATAATTTAAATTCAAATTATATATATGAAATCAATGTAATAAAGATTGACTCCCACCAATAAACTAAATATGAAGGATGATTCAAATTTGACAAGAATTTGTTGTGTAAATCATTCAAATAAAACTGCCAAATATTACTTAGTGAAGGATAACTCAATTAATCTATGTTCAAAATGCACAGTGTAAATGATGGGAAAGGGACACAAAGTTGAAGAAATACCTGGTATTGAAGAAGAATACAGAAGGAAATAAATTAATTAATTTATCAATTAAGTAAATAACAACATTCCTCATATTGATAAAATGATGAATGCTCTAATTACAAAAAGGGATGATATTCAAAAATATTATGAATAATAAAAAGAAAAGGTTGAAAAGTTTCATATTTAAATTTACAAAGATTTAGAAGAAGAGAAACTAAAAAAGTTATAATAATTATATACTAATTTTAAGAGTGTATAATAATAATATGATGAAAGCATTTAAAATTTATAATCATCTAAATCTGAAACTATATGTATGAAAAAGGATATAGAATTTAATCTAAATTCAATTATCAAGTAAATTTAAAATGAACCTTTTAATGAAATTATGGCTAGTTATCATAAAAATCTTCAAATATTCATAAATAAAACTGATCTAATAGCCAAAACTCCAATTGAAGTCTTAAAAGTAACATTAAATGAACCAATCAATTTAAGTCATCTTATATCAATATCATAATTGAAAACATGTTTAATAAAGAAAAACCTTCAAGATTCAAATAATAAATAAGAATCTAATGATAGTGTATATGAAAGTTTAGAAAAAAAGGAATACTATACATAACCAAAAATTAGTAGAATGGCATTATCTTCAGTAAAAACACCAAAATAAGATTACAGCATAAAAAATGTAGCCTCATTTGAAATAACTAATGAAGAATTTTATGAAGATGGACATTCATAGATGATAGAAAGAGATGATGTTGAGAATTCATATTAAATGATGCTATTAGATACTCATTTAGATCAAGAACCATAGAAAAATGATTCAGATATATTAGGATCATTTGGACCAATCTAAATTAATAATAATTCTAATCCAAATAATAATAATACAATATTATAATCTAATAATAATAAATTATTGGTTTCTAAAATTATTGAAAGAAACAATTAAAAAAATATAGATAAAAATTATATGCTTAAAGCTACAAATACATCCCTAAAGCATATATGATATCTATTAAATACTTATTAATTAATTAATATATATAATTATAACTATTCTTATTTCATATTAAATGATAATGTAAATATTAAGAATTAAAAATTTTTTATTTTTATCAAACTCTTTTATTTATTTAATATTCAAATCTTCAAAAACTATAATAAAATTATTACAATTAGGTTAATCAGTTTTAACAGAATATCTTCTACCATAAGAATATAATAATAATAATAATAATAATAATAATAATAATAATAATAATAATAATAATAATAATAATAATAATAATAATAATAATAATATCAAGTAGAAACTTATAAAATGAAATTTAAGCCTGAGGTTCCAATCAATCCCATTGTACTAATACAAACTTATAATAGTAATTAATAGGTCATAGCTATTCCCATTACTGTATATGGTTAAGATTTCTCTTGATGACCCAAATCATCATACTAAAAAATAAAGATTATAGATTTACCACATTTTATATTGAATGTATACAAAACAATGAGTAATTTAGAAATTAATCATCTTGAAGTACACTTTCAACAGAAGCAGTTTCAAGTAATTTTTGAAATGCCTAAAATAATGAAAATATAATTACACTAAAAACTGGATCTTCAGGTTTAAAAGTATAATCTAGAGATTTGAAAATTTGATATGACAATTATTAAATAAGAAATAGATTTTTACGTAATAATCCTCTATGAATACACCAATGAGCATTAATTCTGGCACCTTATAATACTAATGCAATTGATATTGATGCTATAACTACAAAATCAACAGTCTATTAAAGTATACTATTGATAGTAACAGATTCAACATAAAAGAGAAATGTCATAATAACCATCATTATTGCATTTAGAATCATTATAAAGGATAACATGAAGGATTATCTCCTTGTATATTGCAATCCATAATCTAGAATCATCTTCCTTAGATTGACCCAAGAATATAAAGATACACAACATAATAGATTTAGAGTAGGAAACATTTTAGATTCCTAATAAACTTCTACTTTCTCAGCTGATATTAAATGAGATAATTGAGTCATGGCAAATACTTTTCTTCTTAAATCTCTATATGTGATCATCATCAACAATGTAATCATATAAAAGTACATAAATTAGAAAATGCACATTTATCCTGCTATTACATAATCCTTAACAGATTCATTACAGAAATTCATTATAAAAACATATGCTACTACTCTTATTAATGCAAGAAAGATTGAAAATTTATTTATGAATCTAATTTGACATTTCTTATTGTATTCTTCAACAATTTCTCTTGCCATTGATATACAATTAGCTGCTATATCTTCATACAGTTTATTACCATTATCTGGATATCCAACTTAAATTCTTTTCTTTCTTTCAGGATTTGGTGCTACCATAAAATATAGATGAAAAGAGGTAGGTTCAATTTAAAGTCTCTTCATTGATTATTCAAACTCTCTATTTATCATAGATGGTGTTTGTTATGCCCAATGATAAGGGTTTATACTTTATTCACACAAATCTCCAATAATACTCATATCAAATCTTTCAATGAGATTCAATTTTGAAGGATGGAAGAAGGCATATTTGATAGCATAAGTAACATTTTCTGTTATAAAAAGGATACAAAAAAATCCAATTTCATAATGCATCTTTTTCAATCCATAGTTTCCAATATAATAAACAAAAGAGAAGAAAAAACAATAATTGGATAACCAACGAAAATAGTTGAAGGCAGTTCCTTTTGAACATCCATAAATTCTGAAATTACTCATAAAGCTTATCCATTCTTTATTAAATAATCCATAAACCAGTATTAATGGACCAATAATAGAAAATAGGATTCTAAGAGCCAAATATTTAATAAAAACTTTGATTCTGAAGTGGACTTCATGAGGTTATGTCTTAATAAATAATTATAATTAATATTACTCTATATTTGATTGAAGTTGGATCAAAATCACTTATCCTAGATCTTCCTAAATCCTCTCTAAAAAAGATTGAAGAGCCATGTTTGGATTTACAGAAGGATTCTCTTTCACTTCTTCCTGGAGTTATTCCTATATTAGTATCATGTTTTTCTTCGAATTCAGATTGACTTATCTATAATTTTCAGTCAAATAAGGATATTACTTGATTTACTGATATAATCTTATTTTATATCATAGAAATCCAAGATTTTTAAGGGAACTTTACTTTAACTTAATTCTTTTCTACATCATCTAATTCATTAGCTATTTAATCGTCTGACATTCTTTAATTATTTTTATTGTTGATGAATTTTATTATAAAAATATATTAATATAAATTCATATATCATTTTATTTTAAAAAGGTATTTAAGATTTCAAATTTACTACTATTTTCACTTCCAATTATAAATTATACAATATTATTTTATTCCATTAAATTCATTTCCACATTCTCAATTGATTTATATGATTTTAATGAAAATTTGTATATATTTTTACAATCTACACACTTACATCCAGAATTACAATATTTACCATCTTAATGACAACTACAAAATTTATTTAAGCACTTGGATTTTCCACAAGTACATCCTTTTAAATATCTTGGTGTTCTTTATTTATTTCTTTTTTGTTTAATAAGTCTTTTCTAAATTTTCTTCAATTTTCTATTCATTTACTTATTCTAACAATTTTGACAACCACAATGTTTATTACATGTTTTACCTCTTGCAAAACATTCACAATAACTTTATTGACACTATGACTTACTACATTAACATTTAATCTGAGGTTGAAAAGTATTCACTTCATTAAGATCTATTTCAGAACATCTTAAATCATCTAAATCATCTATCAATTCTGATTTATGACTCTTTTCACCTATTGAAGAACATTTGGTAGAAAATTACTAAGAATTTTGGACACTAATCTATTCAAATTAATCATCAATTGATTAAACTCTAAATAATGAATTTTAATAGATTACCTATTAATTTGACTATTTTCATCAAAGAATCCTCTGAATGATTGACAAATTGATTGATCATTTACTTCACAATCTGATTCACTAAAATATTACATCAATGGTTTCATCTTTTGTTCAAAATAAATATTTCTCAAGTTTAGGTTGTAACAATATTGCTTATATACAGCATTCTTTAATAAGATACTATATTTGGAGTGTATTGATTATTATAGTCATAGGCTAATAATTATTCAATATATATATATTAATTAAATTGTATACAATAATTTAATCATTATTTATTATTATGTTTTTTAATGACACTACAAGTTAATAATAAATTGCTCTTACCCCTGATTCAAAAATCACAGAGAGAGTGAAAATTCCTTAAACTTAAACTAAACAATAAATCATTGAACATCATTAAAGTATTAATAAATTGCTTGAGAAAATGAATGAAACTATTGGGAGAATATTTAAAACAAAAGAAGATGAATTACGAGGGAATATAAAATAATAAATTGATGAAGCATAAGCATAAGTAATATAATTGACTAATGAAACTACAGAAGATTAAGTACAACGTAAATTGAAAGAGAAAAGATAAGAAATTGAAGAAGAACGATAAAAAATATTATAATCATCAATGGAATTCTCTAATAAATGTATTGAATATAAGAATAGTCTAAGCAAAGTTATGACTACAACTAAAGATCTAATCTCAGAAATTCAATTTCTAGACACTTAATTAATGAGTGCTAAAATTACTAATTAATAATTAAAGAAGTAATTAGAAAATATTTAAACTAATACTGTTAATTAAGACTATTTTAGTCATGAATCAACATATAGATAACCAGAAATACCAGGAATGGATATTGAAGGAGTTAATGAACAATATTAAAAGGCAGAATAAGAATTAATCAAAACTAAAAAGATTTATGAAAATATTGAATAAGTCAAATAAGATTAAGCATTTGAAGAAAATTAAATTGAAAAAATATTCTTGGTATTTTATCCAAATTTTATTTTATAGGAATGTGTTTAAAAAGTTAAGTAACATAAACTTAATACTGAAATTTAAAAAGTGTAACAGTAGAGTAAAAATCCTAGACAATTACTTAAACCAATATAATCATTGAAATAATTTCATAAACAAACAGAAGCATTAAATTAACAAGACTTTATATTTTCAGATATAGAATTCAATGATATTCATAAGAAAATGATATTCGATGAATTTTTATCAAGAAATGAAATCAAAGCATTGATTTACAATTTGCTATGAAATTCTAATTTGAAAGCAGTCCAAATTTTTATCTACATTAAAATATTAATTATTAAAAACAATACATATTTGATATCATACACATAATGTCATCTTTTACTCTTTTTTTATTATTATTACTTTTTCATAGGCTATTTATTTTACAGTTTATTTGTCAATTCTTCCATTCTTAATTGAACTTATCTTTCAATTTCTTTTTTTTATTCTTAACGAAGAGTTTCCTCTATTCGTTTTAAATCCTATAAGCGTTACATTTCCATTCTATGAAACTCAATTTATTATTAAGTGACAATTTGCTTTTATTCAACTTATTTATTCTTCACTTCTTCTTCTTTCTTCTCCTACATATTTTTCATTGCCTTTTCCTATTTTCTCTATTTGCTTGATTTATTCTTCTTGGTTTTCTCATTTTCTTTCTTCCCTTAGATTTATTAATATTGGTTTTAGACATTTGATTGATTCTGTACTTCTTATTGTTATAACTAATTTTATTGTAGAGGTTATTCATCTTCCCATTTCACTATGCCAATACATTTTAAGAATAGCATAATAAAATAGTATAATATCTTGAGCAATACAAAGAGTCCGAATATAGCTTATATTGTTTATAACATTAATTTATTTAATTAGTATGACACAAATAATTTTATATATATTTCTTACAATATACATTATAATAATTAAATAATTGACTTATCAAGAATTATTAATAGATTTGAATATCTTGTTAAATAATATAATTTGTATTAATAAATAAGAATAAATAATAATTGAAATTTAGTACTAAATACCATAAATTGTAAGCAATATTATAATAAATAAAATAAAAATATATTTTTTATTCATTTATTTATTCAACCAGAATAGATATATCTTTAATAATAATTTAATTTAAAGTCTCTTATACCCCATGTATAAGAAATACTATTAGAATTGCTAGTTGAAATTTACAAAAATATTTAAGAATTTGAATGTTCGTATATTTCTTCAATTGTAAAAAAGTTACTATTAGTTGATGCATCACAATATAACATTGTTTATGTTTTTATATATCTTATAAAAACTTGCTTTCCATCAATAGAAATAGTAAATTAAATATCTTCATCTGCTGGTGCTTTTACTATAATTTTGAATTCAATTTTAATCTTTTCATGTTGAGGAATATTTTTAATGATTTTTCTAAGACTTGATGTTTAATCTAATTATGAATCACCTCCAAATAAGGTTTTGGAAGAACAAAGAGATAATAAAAATGTTGTTGGTGTATATACCCAATCCTTCCAATCATCACTAACTAAATTCAAACTAGCAAATTCAGTAGAAATTACTCTCCTATCAAGTGTTAATACAAAATTTCTTATTCCCCAAAATCCAGTAGCTGTTACAATTTGATTTGTGTACATTTGTACAATGAGTGTATTTTATGAATGTGCAATATTAGTGATATTAACTATTATTCTTTTATCATAATCATCATCAACACTACATAAAGGTAGTCCATCATTAATTGTTACAGCAGGTAAAGACACTTATCTAACTTCAACATCATCTACTAATACAAAGAGTTTTTCTCCTGTAAATTTATCTATTTAAAATAGAGTAAATGATATTGAAATTGTAGTATGAGGTTATGTAAGGTAAAATACTTTTTAAAAGTGATTATTTCCTTAAAAGAATTTAGTAGTAGTTGATACTAGACTTTCCATACATCTTAAAGTAGATAATTGAGTTGGTTTAATCATTTGCCAACCATCATTATTTGTAAAAGTTGTTTCTGTAAAAATGGAATAGAATAATTATTATGTATAAAGAACATCATCTTAACAACCTGATGGACCTGGTCCTTTGCAAGAATATATACAGGAACTATGACATGGTTTGATATAAATTTCAAAATCTCGTATTCCCCATCTTATTGATTAATCACTAAATATATAATCAGTAGGATAAGTAGCAAAATTTAAAAATTATTTGTTATGACTTGCTTCAAAACTAACATTTTCTAGAATTTCTCCAGAAGTTTATTCAGGATCGTCAGCATATCCACAAATATGAGGTGGTAATGTTGTTTTAATTCCAAATGTTGATGTGATTATTATATTTCCATCAACTTCTGCCATCCAATTATATTTAAATTGTGGCAAAATATTGTATAATAACTAAAAATAGGAAATCTTAACTTTATAATGTAGAGGTAATTATATTGTTTTCTGAAATTATTAATTTAATCTACCCAAACCAAAGAAAAGAATATCAATGCTTTAATCTAAATAATGTTAATTTCATTTCTTACATTAACATCTTTTTATTGAAATATAAGAATTTTTATCTAAATTGTTAAATTTAGCACTCATATACCATCCTTCTGTGTCAAAAGTCAAAAATTATTAATTTATTAATGATCTATATTACAGTTTCCAATCATTACAAATAACTGCATTATCACATGAATCACATCCATTTGGACATGTTAAAACATATAAGTAAAAATCTCTAAAACCAAGAGATAAATTATCAGTTGGATAACTTTATCCAAATAACACTTAAATGAACACTGAAGTAGCCTGATGAAATTAAAAATTATCGAAATAACTTTTCTATCGTATTTACATTCCAACTTTTTAACTAAGATATGATACTACAGACTTCAATGCAGATGTTTTGCCATCAATTTTCATTACTCCTTCAGTGTAATCAAATGAGGAACTTATTTTACTTTCATAATATATTTAAATACATTAAAATAATCCCTTTAACTCTAATAGCATAATGAGGTGGCAATGAATAAAAAACTTTAGAAATTCCATCCCCTTTTAATTACCACCCTGATACGACATTCAGTCCTATATAATTTTAATTATCATAAGCTTCTATCCCAAAATCATTATGATTTCTAGAATAAACAATCCATCCTAATAATCAAAAATGATCATCTACCTTCATTTGTAGTAAAATCATTTGTTGTAAACGCTGATGCAAATAACACTTCAGCACCTATCACTTGATTAATAAAACACAGAAACATGATTTAAAACATCTCTAATAACTTTAATCATTAACTTAAATTAATTTCTCACCTTTATGAATACTATAAATAAAGATGAAAACGAAAACCTAGTTATTTCTGGAATTGACATTATAAATGTCTTAAAAAGTTAGGAAAAATCAGAAATCACATTAAAATTCTTTAATTAACAAGTTTTTACATTCTCACAACCAACTTATGGTTAGAGATAAAGATAAAAATTTTAATGACAATCTAAAAAAATTAATAAAAATTTTAAGCATTCAATTAAATTAAAATATTTTGGTGTTGTTTATAATACTCTTTTTTGATTTTATTATAAATTATTATTATTACTTCTCTTAATATTAATAACCTTAAAATTATTCTTGATTTTATCTTATCAAATGTTAATGTAATCTTATTATTTAATCGTTCTCTTCATCTTCATAAAATATCTGTGATTTATCAAAATTATCTTAATTATTAGGAATAAATGGAGCTTTCAATTATTTTTGAATAAGTAATTCAAATGAAAAATTCTTAAACCATTTATGCTATCTTGGATATATTAATCTATTCTATGGTTTCCTTTATAATAGTATATTTATGAAATCAATAGATTCATTAGACCAACCTTCATTAGATCTTTGAATCTATACTTATTTAGCAAGAATCTATTCTCTAATTTCTCTTCTATTTCCATAATATGGTCTTCTTCCTGTCATGAATTCATAACAGATAACTCCCAAAGCAAAAAAATCTACAGCTGCTCCATGATCTTATCTAAATATTACTTCAGGTGCCATATAACCAGGTGTACCACTAGTTTCGAAATTTTCACCTGTTTTTTTAATAGCTACACCAAGATCAGTGATACGAACATAACCTTAATTATCTAAAATCAAATTTTCTGGTTTGATATCTCTATGTATTATATTGTTCTCATGCAAATATTCTAATCCTACTATGATACATGCAGCAAAAAATTCTATTTAAAAAATTTATATATTGAAATACTTGTCTATTCTTCTGTAAATTTTCTCAATCTTCCTAAATGAAATCTCAAATCACCACCTCCTAAATAATCTAAGACCAAATAGAGATTTTGATTATCCTGAAATGCTGAAAAAACATTGATTAAAAAATTATGTCGTAATTCAGTTAAAAATTATAATTCTCTCATAATACTATGTACACTTTATTTCAAAAGCACTAATGCCTTACTGATTTCTTTCATAGCATAGACTTATTTTTTATAAATAACTTTCCAAACTCTTCCAAATCCACCCACTCCAATAACATATTACATTAGAAAATGATGTTTATTTAGAGCGACATCCACTTCTACTGAATTGTCTTTTGAATGTTATCTAGTATTTGAAGTATATTTTGAAGGTGCTTTTTTTTCAGACATTCTCCTACGATTTATCATATTTATATTTTGAAAGAGACCAATAAAGGAAATGTCATTCTTGTCTTGATTATTGTTTTTATGAGGTGAAGAATATCTTCGAATTGCTATTTTTAACTTTGTTTCTGTCATTGGATGACGCAAGCTAATTAATTTTAATTAATAAACTGCATTAATTATAATGTGTCAAATTATCCTATTCTCATTTTTTATATGATTATTACTTAATAAATGGTATCATTTATATACAATAATTATTTCTTTAATTATAATAAATTTTCATCTCATATTTTTATGATAATTATAATTAATGTTTATATGAAATTAGAAGGATAAAGTAGTCTAAATAAATTTAATTATTATGCTATATAAAGTCTTAACAAAAATTTCATATTTTGATAGGTTTCAAGCTGAAGTGAAGTTAAATTCAAGAAAAAAAGAGACTCATTAATCTCCCTTTGGAGGTTTCTGTACAATTTTACTAGTCTTAGTTTTGACAGTGATATTCATCCGAGGAGTAATTGGTTTGATAAAAAAAGAAACATTCACTGTATCAAATATAATTAATCTAATAAGATATCTTCCACCAAAATACTCAATGTTAATCCTCCAATCACTTAAATCTAATTTTATGATTTAAGTGATTCCATTTCAAGCAGAAAATCTTATTGGAAATGGAACCAAAATATTAGTTAATCTCATATTTACCTCAAATACGTAAATGATGAATGAAAATGGAAATATGACCAAGACAGAAATATCATCTTATAATTTAGAATAATGTACTATATAATATTTTGTTGAATTTGACTAATCAAATACATATAATATAGTAATTTATACTCATTTTAGAAATTACTGAAAGGCCAATTATCTGATTATTATTGTCTTCCACTGAATTTCAGTCTTTAAAAATAAGGTACTTACAAATCAAATATATTTTAAAATGGTAAAATTTGGGTAATAATTTGTTCCACAGATGATTGTTATTCAACTGCTGAAATCCTACAATTATAATAATTAGGATATTTCAATAAAAGTTTTAAAATTACCGCATAAATCATTAATTTTAGATTATAACACCTTAATGCTAAACAGAGTACCAAATTTAAACATGGAGAGTAATTACATTTCCTATATTAATTCTGATTATTACATATAAGCTAAAAAGAAATTTAAAAAACTTTATGAAGTTTATGAAAATCTAGCACTTTCAGAAGATAAAGTTGAAACTGAAAAAATAATTAATCAAAACGTTTATTAGAATTAATGGAGCTAACTATATATTAAAGTTTTTATTCTCTTGTTGAAATAGAAAAATTATCTAGATATCTAAGATATAATTAAAAAAAAGAGAGTGACTACCAATATTTTGAAACCAAAAACTGTTAAATTAGGATCATAAAATGATATTCAAGAGGATGGAGAAAAAATGATGAAATATATTCCTTCACTCTCAATTTTTAAAAAAAGACAATTTTCATAAGAGATCACCATAAATTTTGACTGAAAATAGATTTAAAAATTATAATAATATGTAGAATTCTAATAGATTACTAAAAGATATTAAATTGAATCAGGTCCGATCTAAATAAGTTTTAATTAATTAAGAGATTTTGTTCTGATTAAATATATTTAATTAAACTCAACCTCTTTTTATCTTCTTTTATTATATATAAAAATAAACTAATTCTAAATAATTAAAGAATCAAAGAGATTATCAATTATAATATCTCTGTTTTTTTAATTAATATCTAATTACTCAATATTGGAAATTTATAATATAAATATATCATATGATTATTTATAGATTTAATTGCAATCTACAAATATTTATGAATCCTTTTCATTTGGAAGAAATAATTGGAATAAATTAATATTAATAATTATGTAAAATAGATTCTTTGAGTTAAATTTTATAGAGACAAACTATTAAGAATAGTTTTTAAATACTTTCATGATCTTTTTCTATGACCAACTGCATATTTGGATTCATTTATTTATTAATAAAATTCAGCTAAAGAATTTAAAGAAAAGGGATCTCTCTTTCAATGAGATATCATAAATTTCATGGTTCAATTAGGGGACTTTACTTATTTGAATAGAACTAAATAAAATTCAAACACACTAATAATAATTAGTTGTGACTTTTAAAATCTATAGAATAGGATGAAAATTTTGAACACAAGAACATTTAACTATAGTCAAAATTGGTATAAATAGAAATGGATAATAATACTTTATCATATTTGTTGTATGTATCAAAATTAGATTGAATAGGTGAAGAATTTGAAAAAAATGTTTATGGACTTCCCACATAGAAATTATTTAATAAAAAGCTATGATAATATCAATTAGATTTATGATAATAATATAAACTAAAGACTATTATCAAAATTGTTAATTCATGAACATTATAAAATAAATATTCATGAATCAAACATATACTGTCCATTTACATTAATAAATCCAAAAATTTAAATCACATTATATATTTATTATAAAACTTAAATATATTGTGTACATAATATTCTCTGTTTATAGTTTAATAATATGTATGATTGATTGATTGTATTATTGTCATATTTATAGATTCNTATCTAAGATATAATTAAAAAAAAGAGAGTGACTACCAATATTTTGAAACCAAAAACTGTTAAATTAGGATCATAAAATGATATTCAAGAGGATGGAGAAAAAATGATGAAATATATTCCTTCACTCTCAATTTTTAAAAAAAGACAATTTTCATAAGAGATCACCATAAATTTTGACTGAAAATAGATTTAAAAATTATAATAATATGTAGAATTCTAATAGATTACTAAAAGATATTAAATTGAATCAGGTCCGATCTAAATAAGTTTTAATTAATTAAGAGATTTTGTTCTGATTAAATATATTTAATTAAACTCAACCTCTTTTTATCTTCTTTTATTATATATAAAAATAAACTAATTCTAAATAATTAAAGAATCAAAGAGATTATCAATTATAATATCTCTGTTTTTTTAATTAATATCTAATTACTCAATATTGGAAATTTATAATATAAATATATCATATGATTATTTATAGATTTAATTGCAATCTACAAATATTTATGAATCCTTTTCATTTGGAAGAAATAATTGGAATAAATTAATATTAATAATTATGTAAAATAGATTCTTTGAGTTAAATTTTATAGAGACAAACTATTAAGAATAGTTTTTAAATACTTTCATGATCTTTTTCTATGACCAACTGCATATTTGGATTCATTTATTTATTAATAAAATTCAGCTAAAGAATTTAAAGAAAAGGGATCTCTCTTTCAATGAGATATCATAAATTTCATGGTTCAATTAGGGGACTTTACTTATTTGAATAGAACTAAATAAAATTCAAACACACTAATAATAATTAGTTGTGACTTTTAAAATCTATAGAATAGGATGAAAATTTTGAACACAAGAACATTTAACTATAGTCAAAATTGGTATAAATAGAAATGGATAATAATACTTTATCATATTTGTTGTATGTATCAAAATTAGATTGAATAGGTGAAGAATTTGAAAAAAATGTTTATGGACTTCCCACATAGAAATTATTTAATAAAAAGCTATGATAATATCAATTAGATTTATGATAATAATATAAACTAAAGACTATTATCAAAATTGTTAATTCATGAACATTATAAAATAAATATTCATGAATCAAACATATACTGTCCATTTACATTAATAAATCCAAAAATTTAAATCACATTATATATTTATTATAAAACTTAAATATATTGTGTACATAATATTCTCTGTTTATAGTTTAATAATATGTATGATTGATTGATTGTATTATTGTCATATTTATAGATTCATATTAAAAAATTGTAAAAATCTGATGATTAATATATATTTATACACATAATTAAGATATTTTATTTAAATAATATTATTACTTGGACTTATGTCTCAAATTAGACATTGTAGAATATGCAATAATGCTCATAAATTCAAAATTAAAGGTCTTTTGTCTTATCCTAAACACTTTCCAGACAAAAGTATCCACAAATACTATTAAAGATTAATGAAAAAGTTTGAGGAACATAACATCTAATAAGTTCCATTTTCAGATGATCATATATGCTACAATATAGAAAATGACATTTGTGAACATTGCTGGTTGTTTATGCATCAAGGATTCTAATGTTCAAAATGTTAAATCTACATACATAATAATGATAAGGAATCTAAGATTTGTACCTTGTGCAATGCATAATATTGCATATATTGTGAAAACCCTTTGGAATTATTCTCCCAAAATAAATTATGTCAAACCTGTGAATAAAATAAGAATGAATCATTTGGAACACCTAGCTTTCTAATTTCCTTTTTTATATCTTTATTAATTCCTTGCTTTGCATGTAGTTTCTTTTTAAAAAAAATGATTAAAACAATAGAAAGATTTCAATACTCTACTTACTAATACACTTTTGCCATTATAACCTTTTTAATAATATTCCCATTCATTTACATAATATCAATTATTGGTTTCTTGGCATTATTGATCTTCAAGCTATCTATATGTATACTTGATTTTTTGCAAAGCTCAAAAACAGTTAGAATGATCTCAAAATATCTATGTGTTTATAAATCAAAATGATATACTTATTTTTTAATGAATATCCCTTACACTATCTATAAATGTTATGTTAATTAAATTATATTATTGGTCATTCAAATATGTATAAATTTTCAAGTCTAAGAAAACCTTCTGTGTATTTTATATTAGGAGGTACTAATCAAATAATATAAAAGGACCTGGCTCAGGTAAAGGTACCTAATGTGAATTATTAAGTAAAAATTTAAAATTTGTACATCTTTCTGCTGGACAATTACTGAGAGATGCTGTAATTATTCGAAATTATAATTTTAGATTACAAGTAATTCTCAGCACAAGATTACTATTGAAAATTGCATAAATAATGGAGTTATTGTTCCTGTAATTTATCCTAATTGATTTTTTTTTAGAGTCATGTAACCATCAATTTATTGGATAAAGCAATTTTTGATAATTTAAGTTCTGAGACATTTCTAATAGATGGATTCCCAAGAAATTATGAAAATATGTAAAGTTGGATAGAATTGATGGATCACAAAATCAATTTTAAGAGTGTTATTTATATTCATTGTTCAAGAGTATTATAATTTTTTGTATATATATCAGCAAAATATGATCTTAAGAATATAGGAAAGATCAAAAACAAGTGGAAGATCAGATGATAATTTATAAATTTTGGAAAAGAGATTCATTACTTATTAAAATGATACATAAAAAATAATAGACCATTATCGAAATCTTAATAAATTAATTGAAATTGATGGAGATAATTCTATAAATATAGTGTAAGCATAAATATTAGAATTACTTAATAAAACCCTGATTCATTCATGAAATTAGACAATTGTAATTCATTAAAACAATAATTGAATTATAGAATAGATCACTAAATTGTAATTTATATTTAAAAATTTATAATGTTACCATACGATGGAGTTCAAAGAGCTAATAAATGCTCCCCGAGGCTGGAGTATGATCTTAATTTTCATCGTATTCCTATCCTAGGTTGATATAAATATCATCTAAGTACACATACGATGCTTGCTCTAAATTTCATATCAATAAAACATATTATTATTATTTATGTTTGATATGAATATTATTATGGGATTTCTATATTAATATTCATATAAGACATCTCTCATAATCTAAAATTGTATAATTTTAGATTGACCAAAAAGACATTTAATGTTGTAGTTTTGATTATTTCAGGATATTATAGAATATTATAGGTTATATCAAATTTACATGGATTTTTTGAGTTAATCCTACTCTTAGTTTTATATAAAGATAAGTGAAAGATTTACTTAAATATGATAATTTAAAATATAAATCTTATGAAACTAATGTAGAATACTTTGATTTGGAAAGAATTATGGATATATATATTTAACTCATATTTATTTCTAAATGTTTAATTAAATATAAAATTAACGATTTTCAAAATGGATCAATAACATTAATAGCATTTTCAAACTATAGAATGTGTTGTTTCTGAGAGATTAACAAGCAGAGCTAAATCTTAAAGTAAAGACACTATACAAGTCTTATCACCTAAATAAAATATAGTCTATGTCAAAAGACAACCACAATAAATTATAACAACTACTCAAGCTCCTATCAGAACTGAAACCTTTGTCAAACCTGTTATTTAATAAGTATAAAAAGTCTAGGTAGTTGATAATAGAGAAGAAGTTGAATTTTATAAAAGTAAATGTCTAATATATGAAAAATAAATCAGTGAACTCAACATTGAAGTTACTAGATTGAGATCTAATCCTACAATCTAGGAGAAAATCACTTATGTTGAAGATTCACATAAAGTAGCTGAATTGGAAAGATAATTACTTATTTACCAAACTGAAATTAATAAAATAACTGCCTAATTGAAAGAAACAAACTTTGAAATCGAAACTCTCAAGATTAAGAATACTTAAATTACCTCTTAATTGGTTTATTATTAATAATAACACAGTGATTTTGATAAATTAAAGAAAACTTAAATTGATAGTGAACAATATTATTAAAATGAAATCTAAAGATTAAATATACTTGTCTAATAGAGCTAAACCTAATTATAATCCTTATAAGCTACCCTAATAGATTCAAAGAAATATGAACAATTGTACATTTAACTTTAATAAACTCAAACAACTTTAACTAATGAGTTGGAAAGATGTACCTAGGTATTGAAGATTAAACAAGAAGAATTTGAAACTACTAAATTATAGTTTATAAAAGACTTAGAAATTTAATCTTTGAGACTTAAGGATTTCGATAGAGAAAATAAAGAATTAAAATAAAGAGAATATTCAATCTAATAATAATTTGAAAGATTAAATAAAGAATACTAAGATCTAAGTGATAGATACAATAATGATATCAGATCCAAAAATGATGAAATTGCTAGATTGACTTCTGTTACTCAAACATTATAATTGACATTCCAAGATACTTCTAAATTTTAAGAATATGAACATAGATCTAAATTATAAAGTGAAGAAATTTAATTGCTCAATTAAAAAATGAGAATAAAATAGGATGAAATTGATAAATGTAAATTGCAATTACATTAATATAATCTTTAATTATAGGAATACTCTAAATATGTTGATTTTGAATCTAGATATAGAAGTATTTAATAAGAATACGACAGAATTCACAATACTTTAAGAATGAAAATTGAAGAAAATGATAATCTAAGATCTTGCATTTCCAAATTACAATTAACAATTAGTGATAAATATAAATCAAATGATTATGAAAATAAAATTGCTTTATTGAGTTAAGAAATAGAAAGATTACACTAAAGTTTAAAAAGTAGGTAGGATGAAAATGACAAATTAAGATAAGAACTTTACTCATTTTAATCATCACAAAATGACTAATAAATAGCAGTCCTTAACAGTGAAATTGATAGGCTCAATACACAACTTAGAATTAAAAGTGAAGAATTAGAAAAAAATAGAAGTAATTTCAATTAATTCTAATATAACGAATCATCAAGACTTAAGGAATTAGAATAGAAAAATGTTGTCTATTCAAATGAAATTGATAGATTGAGTAATTTAGTAAGAGTCAAAATTAATGAATCAGAATAATATAAATAAGAGTTGGTAAAAGTAAGAGATTAATCCTCTAAATTTACATAAATGTACAATGATAATGAAAAATTAACTTCTTTAATTAGAACTTTACAAGATGAATTAGATTAATCTAAAAGAAAATAGAAACTAGATGAATCTTATCTATATAATGAAAAAATTTAGGTTTTAATATAAGAATTAGATTCTTGGAAGACATAATTTATAACTTAAAATAGAGAATTTCATAAAAACTAAGAATTACTTATTTTAGCTTAAGCAGAATTAGATTCTTTAAAAAACAAAAGAACTTCAACATTGAAAGTATCAAATTATTTTTATATATTTTAGACTGAATAATATGCTGATTGCAATAATGAAAATAAAGTAGAATTCAAAAAGAATCATACTTCATAACCTAGTTATATGTTAGGAATGTTAAATACAAAAAATTGAAAATATATATATAATATCATATTTAGTTAATGATAAACAGGTATTCTTAATTTTTGTGAAGCATTAATACCTTTCTTTTATCAAAATATGAAAATTAGATGTATTTCATATTTTGAAAAATTAAAAAAATTGATTTATATTAATCAATTAATCTAAATTTATTTTTGATTTAAGATTACTCCTATAAATTATTAAAAAATGATGGAAAAATTCATCATGTTTTTATATTCTAAAGGATTAAATTATTGTTTTATCCGCCAACTAATAAGCAATTTGAAAATAAACAAGTTTTATATTGAAAAAGTCAAAGTTATTAAAAATCATATTTCTTCTTAATAGGAAAATGCAAATTTAATTGTTCAATTGTTAAACTAAGTATATTTAATAAAGCTAGTATTGTATAAAATCTAAATAAACTTGATATATTAT